CTATCCATTAATCAATGTGAAGGAACAGAAGGAGAAACCTATAGAATGATAAAATCAGAGAAGCTGGCTTAATATGGATCTCTCCATTATCCAGACAGTGTGGTGAGCTCTTTCGAAAATAAAGAACACCTTTTTCCTGGCCAGGTGCTAGAAATCCTCTATTGGTTCATCTCATTCATTCAAAAATAGTTCCTGAACATCACTCTGTGCCAGGGAGACATACTGCTGGGCATCCAGTGGGAAGCAAAACAAACACAAGTATGTTCCTCAAGGAGCTTGCAGTCAAGAGGGAGACCATGGTAAGCAGGTAGTTGTGGAAACAAGTTTAAAATTTGCAGCTGAGCTAAATGATGGGACAGGACTACAATGGTGATGTAAGAACTGCAAACAGGAATCTGAACTTTTCAGGGAGTCGGAAAGACTTCCTGAAGCAAGTGTGGCCTGAGCTGAAATATGAATGAATGGAAGGGGTCCAACTGAAGTAAATAAAAGAGACAAGAAGCTGAGCATGGTGTGTACACCTATAATTTCAGCTCTCAGGAGGCTGGGCAGGAAGGATCAGGAGACTGGGACCATTCTGGGCTACAAGTGAGATCTATTGGGGGCGAGAGGAGGGAGAATGAGGAGGAAAGAGGAGAAGGAAAAAAAGAATTATTTCAGGCGGAGGAAACAGCATGTGCTAGACTCTCTGAAGAATAGTACAATTGAATAGGAAGAGACAGAGAAGCTGTGTGGATGATGAGGAACAAAGAGGGAGCGTTGGGATGAGACAGGCTGGCCAGGTGCGCAGGAAAGCCAGGTGAAGGGTAGGGCTTTCTCCACAAGCTGATGGGTGGTAGCCCAGAGAAAGGCCCATCAATATGTTTGGAGCAGATCCTGGTCACTCCTGTGCAAACTTCCTGTTTGCCACATAATGGATTTTGGTCCCTGTTTTTAATAATAAATGCTGACAGGAACAACTTCTCCACTCCCCCCGCCCGTCCATCCTGTCACCCACTCTTTGTCTTGGAGTTTTTTGTTGTTTCTGTCTCCTTCCCCAGGGTAGATTTCTGAATGCCCTTCAATGCTGTCCTTCCCTCTCTCAACGATGTTGGGGCTGAGAACAGAATGTAAAACCAATGGAGGGCCTGGAAGACAACTGGAAAATGGTTATTGAACTAAGCCCAAAACTGCCAAAAAATACAGTTCGTTTGAGCCATCATCTGACTGAAATGGAGAACTGTAAAACTGAGAATAACGAGTATGAAACGCTGTGTACAATATTAACAATGCTCATGGCAGAGGACATTACAGAGGGAGGCTGGAGGGCCATTTCAGCCTCAGTCAAGAGATTCTGACAGCCAACGGGTAAAGAGAAGCAAACTGGATGCTTTAAAAAACAAGTCCATTAAGCTGTAGTGAAATTTAAACATAGATATTCTAGGGGAAAGAAAGCACTGCAAAGGTTTAAAAATTAATTTTTGTCTGTCATATTATATCACCAGAGCATAATGTTTGCAGCACGTCACAAGTGTAGTCCTTGAACAGTGAAGCATACTGTTGCATAAGAATCTTATAAGTGGTTAAAACATGCATAATGAAGCTTGGTGTGTTAATTCTGGGGACATCCATAGTGCACTGAAAGCATCAAGTTATGAAAAAGGAATCACATAGCACATGTAAGATTGGAAATCGTTCTTACTGTTCTTGGGGAGGAGAAAGAGCTGGGGCATAGTGAGGACTTGCACAGGACTGGCTTAAGTTGTTTGGTGTCAACACCACTTTATTGTTTAATAAGTAATGTGCAGGGTGGAGGCACATGGAATTGATTATATGATTATTTATACCTTTGTAATTTCCAAAATAGCTCCCGTAATTTTTCAAGAAAAAACTGACAATCCTAAGTTGCAAAGTGAACTACTGAGAAGAAAAGCAACAGAAATAAGGACTCAACTCCTTTCTAGTAATGGACTTTCCACAAGCTTTTAGAGATTTGGATCTTGCTAGCATAAAATAGTTCACAATAAGAACGACGGGTGCACTGGTGAAGAGTAATTGAACGCCTCAATCAACGAGCTGTGGTGGCATGAGTTTTCAGTCCGTTTGAACTCTTGTCCCTGTAATTTGCCAAACAGAGACTGGTCTCAACAGGGTGGCATGGACCCTGTTAGTGTCCAATTTGCAGAGTTAGCTTCAACCAGAGCACAGTAAGTTCTAGAAGCTCCCCATGTGTGAGTATACAGAGTGATATATTTTAGTATTTCATGTTCATCGAATTCACCTTACTGCTGTTCAAGGAGGCTTGGATCAATAACAGCAACAAATCTATGGAAAAGTAACCAACCAGGCCTCTTCATTTTGCAGGCCTTTCCGAATCTGGAGGCACAAAGAGCTGAGATTGGGGGTCACTGAGGTTCTGTGGCATGGTAGTACAGAGGTTAAATAAAGGGACCGTTCAGCATGAAACTGGTCCCTGTTGACAGCACCTGATTTCTCCACTGGGCTTCTCTCAAGCCATGTCCACTGTCAAGTTGGTGCACTGGCCGCAGGTGGGAATGCCTCATTTCACACCCTGGTGGCAGGCATGGAGAAAATGGAAAGAACACAGTCACTAAATTATACTCGGAGGGCAGGAGGACAGGGCAAAGCTTTGGCAGATTGGCTTGGGCCTCATCCTGCGCCCGCCATGTGTTGGGAAATTTTGGGCAAGCAGATCCAATTTCTGAACTTCTTTGTCTTCATCTGTGAAATGGGATAATAAACGTACTTCCCCAGATTGTCGGCAATCTTGGCAGTAAGTATCTATAGTAATTTAAGTACTATAGGTTGCGCAGTTTTGATTCTGATTCTAATAATTAAGGCACTGTAATTACATGTGATGCCACTGCAACACATAAGTGATGAAAGCACAAGGTTTGTGGTCAGACCCTTAAAGGGGAATTAATTGCCCACAGGTCCACTGTTGTCCTGACTACCAAGTGCGGCCTTCACTCAATCTTCAACTGCTTTTGTTAAGTTGGGCAGGTTTGGGCCCTTAAAGGCCCCGAGGGCATTGCCATCATGCCGGCCACAGGAGTTCACAGAAAGTCATTTGTAAAAATTTTTTAAAATACAGAACCAAGAGATGCTGGTGTGATTCGAGAACAAGAATACTCCTCATTGCTGAATAATACGAGGCTTTATAACTCGTATTTTACTGTTTGCTCTGAAATACTAAAACCTACAGGTGAATCTGATGCTTGACCACAGTGAACCAATATTTTGCTTGGCTAATTTTGTGGACTCACCAGGAGTGGTCACAAAAATTACATGCCCTGATTTTTCTGTTTCTTACGTATCTTGTAATCTTACCGTATATATTCTTTTTATAAGAAAACTTAAAATATTATTGTAAAGAGTTAGATGAGCTTAGAATGTAAAACAGCCAGGTGCTCTCTAGACAACGGTGCTCTGGAACTTGACAGCATTAGAATAAACTCGCTCAATATTTCACAGGTTTTCCTGGGGTTGGGCAGTAGCCCTTCTCCACAAGTATAAGCCCACAAGGCTTTGAATTTAAGCATAATTTTTAAAATGGTGTAAGTTCTGATATTTTAGCATTCTGAAAGGCAAAGGCATGGTCCTTTTAAAATTTCTATAAAATTTGGTCGTGGTATTAGCTCTAACAATGCTGAGCTTCAGAAGGAAACTGGTCTTTGGAGGGTGCACATTCAAGCCCTAAACTTATCGCTTGTTTCTTTTTTCAGATGAGGTTTGCCTGGTGTGTGCTATATGGCGTCAGGCCTGAATGCATCACTGGGAATTTAGAAGGTAAAACAACAAAACACAATGAAAGTTCACAAAAATGAAATTCCTAGTGAGTCTTTTCTGAATTCAGTTGACTTGGTGTCTTTAGCCATCCCTTATTTTAAAAGATAGTGGGTCAGTGGAAATCCTTTATCTTTATTACCTTTGCTAAGTTACTTTAAGATACTTCAGTTCAAGGAAGCTTATTTACCCTGTCTTTCAGCATCTTGATCATAATATTTTCACGTTACTTTTTCCTTTCAAAAAAATTAATTCTTTCTTAAAAAAAAAAAGCATGCCTTTTGATATTATCTATGACTGTTAGCACATTTGTGGTCATAAGCACATCTGAGAATGGAATGAAATAGGCAGTAATTGGAAAGCTGTGGGGATATGGTGACCCTTAGGTAGAAACTGGTGTGGGTATGCCCAGGCTCAGCCCAGAAGTCATTTATGCAGGACCTGCTGCATAAATGAGAGTCAGGCAGAGCCTTTGAAAACACATTACTCACACTACCAGATTTTAAGACTTACTGACATCTTAGGGGATGACCTTCTTACTTTTACTTTTCTGTCTGGGGTGCATGTGGAAGTTTGTAGACTCATAGATTTTTTTAGGGATAAGAGGACTTTAGAGGAAATGTAGCATGCACACACCTGGTAAAAATCCCTTTTCTGCACTGTCATTAGATTACTGCTATCCAGCCTCTTGCTTAAACAGTTCCCTAACAGGGCACCTGTCACACCCTTTTTGACCCTCTCTCACACACTTGATAAACACACCCACTGGCTCTGGCCAAGTGTCCTGCAGTTAACATGGTGGTAACCTTTTATGAATTCTTCATGTGTTAGCAGAGTAGTTTAGGGTGGGTTGATCTTTTGCACCTCAGTTCTTCCTCTATCAAATGAGGGTGACAACAGTGTCACTTCCTAGGACTGTTAGGAGGATTGCATAATTAATATATGTAGACTTAAGATAATGCCTGGCATATGAGATGCATTCTGTGCTTGTATGCTGTCATCACTGTGCTGTTATTATCACTGTGCTGCTGCCATCCTTTACATAGCATTATCATCTCATCGTTATATATTAATGCTACTGTGTGATTGTTATCATTGTCACTCAACAGCTGTGGGTAGAGTGGAAGATACCTTTGTGGTCTGTTAAATGGTTTGTATGGATGAGCCTAAGTGTATTACACTGCAAGCTCCTAAAGAGGGAAGGCCCTTGCATGGTGGGCCCTTGCAGCACCTCCACAGGAATCTCTGGGACAGGGGAAAAGCATCATTTGTCCTGTTCATTTTCTCATCAGCTTGGATGTCTACATCATTAGGAAAGGAGGATGAGGAAGGAGGAGGACAATGAAAGGAATGGATGCTGGTTATGTTCCTTGGAACTATAGAGGATTCTGATTAGGAAATGCTAGCTTCTGAACTGAACATAAGGCCATTTCTGTTCTAGACAATGGAAAGGGAAATTAACATTTATTAAACATATTTTATCTATCAGACGCTGTGGTAGAAACTTTCATACTTCTAATTCCTCCCAGCAATGGTACATCGTAGATAAGTGAGGACAATGGGTGTCTGGGGCTTAAGGGCCTTGCTCAAGGTCACGGATGAGGTCCACATCCAAAGCCCTTCTCTTGGGAGAAATCTGGTGCAAGAAATGCTGGGAATGCTGAGATGTGCATGGCAAGCTGGTATGCTCAGCTCTTATTTACTTAAGAGGCTGGGTGCAAGATAAATATTTAGGCAAAGCTTAAAAAAGAACAGAGTCAGCTCTCGGAGCACTTTTCCAAACCAACACAGGCAATGCAGAATATTTAAATCGGTCTGGGGTTGACCCAAAACTAGAACTCAAGCTTGTGTAGGTTGATCCTCAATAAAAACTTTACAGTCTTATTTACCTTGACTGAGAAAATGTTTGGAGGAATTTCCTCCACGTCGGGAATCGTTTCTCATTGACTGGCTGTGCGTGCTGTGCTAAAATGCCCGCCAGCTCCTCGGAGATCTTCACAAAGCTGGCTCCTGCAGAAACAAATTAAATAGAACCACAAGCAATTTTACTACAGAAATGAAAACTGCTTGTGGAGTGATTAAAAACCAGGCCTCCAACAGGCAAAAAAATGTGGTTACTGTTTACCCAGAGTCAGAAAGCCATTTTGAAAATTTTCTCTATGTTCCCAGCCATTTCAGCTTTCATATTTCAAAGTGATTTTGGCTTCTTAAAAACTGTTAATTGTACCTGTTGTCTCCAAAAGGCACCCTTCTGTCTAGGTGTCAGGAAACCCAGGATTCAGACCCACTACAGCCTGACCAGTGGAGTGTCTTTGGGCAATGTACCTCCCCACTCTGGGCCTCAGTTTCTCGTTATGTAAAATGCGGAGCTAACTAGCTTGTCCCTAAGAGCTTTGAGATTGGAGCATTTTCTATTCTTTGGCCCTAACTGGGCTGACCATTGAGAAATAATGAAGTAGGCAAGGTATTTCTTTGGCAATTCCATTCTTTAACCTGTGTCCTCTCTGTTTGCTGGTAGATATCTGTATCCTATACCTTTGTCATCAAAGCCTAAACTATGGCTGAAGCTGTAAAGGTGGAATTTTACATGAGGCAAGAGTACTGGGGCTAGCCTCCATCTGGCTGAAGTCCCTCCAAGTCCCAGTGTCATCTGAGCAGCTGCAAGGCTGGCCCCATATCATCAATGAAGTGACTCACAGAGGAGACCCTTCAGTGTGAATGAAAACAGTAGGGAACCCTCTAATGAAGGAGAAGCCTGGCTTTTCTTATCTAATAAGTGTTGGCTTGCCAGGTTTTTTTTTTTTTTATGTCATAGTTAATAATGTTCTCTTAGACGCTAAAAGTTTTTTTTTTTTTTTATCACTCCCTTTTTTTATTGTTTTATTATTCATATGTGCATACAAGGCTTGGGTCATTTCTGCCCCCTGCCCCCACCCCCTCCCTTACCACCCACTCCGTCCCCTCCCTCTCCCCCTACCCCCTCAATACCCAGCAGAAACTATTTTGCCCTTATTTCTAATTTTGTTGTACAGAGAGTATAAGCAATAATAGGAAGGAACAAGGTTTTTGCTGGTTGAGATAAGGATAGCTATACAGGGAGTTGACTCACATTAATTTCCTGTGCGTGTGTGTTACCTTCTAGGTTAATTCTTCTTGATCTCACCTTTTCCCTAGTTCTTGCTCCCCTTTTCCTATTGGCCTCAGTTGCTTTTAAGGTATCTGCTTTAGTTTCTCTATTTAAGGGCAACAAATGCTAGCTAATTTTTTAGGTGTCTTACCTATCCTCACCCCTCCCTTGTGTGCTCTCGCTTTTATCATGTGCTCAAAGTCCAATCCCCTTGTTGTGTTTGCCCTTGATCTAATGTCCACATATGAGGGAGAACATACAATTTTTGGTCTTTTGGGCCAGGCTAACCTCACTCAGAATGATGTTCTCCAATTCCATCCATTTACCAGCTAATGATAACATTTCGTTCTTCTTCATGGCTGCATAAAATTCCATTGTGTATAGATACCACATTTTCTTAATCCATTTGTCAGTGGTGGGCATCTTGGCTGTTTCCATAACTTGGCTATTGTGAATAGTGCCGCAATAAACATGGGTGTGCAGGTGCCTCTGGAGTAACCTGTGTCACAGTCTTTGGGTATATCCCCAAGAGTGGTATTGCTGGATCAAATGGTAGATCAATGTTTAGCTTTTTAAGTAGCCTCCAAATTTTTTTTCCAGAGGGTTGTACTAGTTTACATTCCCACCAACAGTGTAAGAGGGTTCCTTTGCCCCCGCATCCTCACCAACACCTGTTGTTAGTGGTGTTGCTAATGATGGCTATTCTAACAGGGGTGAGGTGTATTCTAAAAGTTTTCAAATAGAAGCCACATTTCGGATGTTATTTCTGCTGGAAGTGGGGCAGGGCACTGGATGCAAATTCATTTGATGGGCAGTATTCACACTCAAAGTATGGAACATTGATAAGAAGAGCTCAGGCTTGCTTTGGGTTGCCAGGGAACTTCTGAATGGAAGTGACTGTGATTGCTCCATGATTTTTAGGAATTGGTCTGGGGTGGGGCCGCTTGCAACCTTAGAAATCATCTGCGTGCTCATTTGTTCCCAATTTCCCTAACTTTAAAAGGTGATTGTTCTCCCCCACCCCAACTCCTTGGAACATCTGGTTGATTCTGGGTCCAATACCAATGGAAGACCTGTAATGGAACATCTCAGAGTATAGGTAGACAGGTCCAAGTCATCGAGAGAATTTCTGCAACATCCAAAAAATCCTGGGGGAAAGAGTCTCATTAGCTAGCTTAGAAAATGTTTGACATATGAAACAGAATTGCACCAGGAAACAGAGTGTCCTGGCCCACCCTGAGTTCAGGGGGCTCAGGATAGCTCACTGCATGGTAGGGGAAGGCCTGGGAAGAATGACTGGGAATCATGCCTCATGCAGGAGATCTGCCTTGCCATGTGGAAGCGAGGAAAATTGTTGTCAAAGCAATGAGCCCTTTCCTCCCTTTGCATCCTGTGCCCTGTACCCATTTCTACATCTTTACTGTGAGTCACCTGACCGCCCCAAACACTGCATTGAAACCGTAAGAGCCAGCACGTGCCAGGAGCAGCTCCAGCCCGGAGCCTCTCTCTGTTTCTGCAGTCTTTGAGCATTCCTCCAAAGCTGTCTTTGTTGCTTCATCCTTATTTCTGTTAAAGCCATTCTGCTCTGTGGAGGAACACCAGCTGTCTCTGATTCATGAAGTACCCCAGAGCTGAGCCATGAAGCCAGGCTGTAGATCCTCACCCTTCTCTAGAAAACTGATGTGAGGGAGAGGCTATCCCTCAGCCCTGGCCCTCACCCAGGAAAGTGAAGGCTTCTTTTTTGTTCTGCCCTGATTGAAGGTCCTTTCTGTCCTGTTTCTGAAGGTATGAAGCCATGTAATTAACAAAACTAGAGAAATAAGTAGATATTGGGGGTTGTTTGAGGAGGGGAGGAGATGTAGAGGAAGAGGTGAAGGAGCAGGAGAAAGCCCTGCCACCTAATATTGAAATTAGCTTTCCATCAACTTGAGGACAAGTGCAAACTCCTGAAGAAGGCTTCTGTGACAGCCTTTACTTCCCAGCACCAGCCTCCCCCAAACTGCCTTCCCCTTCTTCCTCTTGTTCAGTCTTTATGAGGTAGTTTCAGTCACACCTCCTCCAGGAAGCCTTCGATGCTGTCCCAGTGGGGTGTCCACTCTCCCTACCCTCCAGCTCTCTTGGGGGTTCCTTAATGGCAAAGACATTGACTTTTAGGTCAACTTCTCTAGCACCCAGCATAGAGGACACTCAATGTTTGTGGAACGAACTGCAATGATGGTAAATACAGGCACATAGTCCTTAACAGCGGTGGGTACAGAATAAGGGAACTCTCAATAGGCTCCCTCCTTACTGCCCAGAACCCCTCTGAGGGGACAACCACTTCAGGACCACCAAGTATTCCTGGGTGAATTTTTATGGGATTTCCCACCTCTGAAAGCATCAGGAGATAAATGAGGTGACATTTATGAAGTGTCACTTCAGATGCAACATGCTAGGTGTAAGGCTGCTGATTGTGTGAGGCTTCTGGACATGGTGCCAGGTGACCACCACAGCCTCCACTTCCAAAGCCAGCCATTCTGCCTTGACACTTAGCGTTTGCACTGTGCACAGAGCCACAGCAAGGGGGTAGATTCCTAGAGGAAAACCTGCAGAATTCAAAGAATGTATCATGGCCCATCATGAGAAGTACACAGCTGAAGGACTAGTGGGGTGACATTCAGTGGGGGTGCCATGCCCACAGAGGCAGCTTGGGGCAATGATTAGCTCTCTAAGAAAAAGACATGGAGAGAAATAATAGGGTAGGAGGGCATGGTAAAACTGTTTATTTCTTTATTTGAAAGTGTCTTAATGGGAAAATGGCCTTAGTAACAATGAAAAAAGAATTATTCCTTTGCTTCTATAAAAAAAAAAATAATAATACCTGCAGCTCATACATTCAAGTAAGTGTATACACCACTCACACACACACACACACACACACACACACTACACAATGTCCTAAGTCAGAAAAAATGGGTGCACCTTTTCTATCTTCCAAACTTGTGAAATGAACATTGGGAAGGTTCTTTTCAGTGAGTAATGTCAAGGATGACCAAGTGAGTGTTTCAGAGAGCCTGTCATCCATGCGAGCAGGTCATTCAGGGCCAATGATGACGGGGGTGGAGGAAGAAAAATTTATACCTTGTGGATGATAAACAAGAGGTAGAAAATGATGCTTTACTTTTGAAAAGTCAGGATTTGGGTTTTCATTCTGTCATCATTGCCCTGTTCTGGGAGTGTACATTCACTCCCGGCCTCTGGAGCTAAGAGTTCTGGGACAACTACCATCTAGGAGAAACATCAGCCCTGCCTTTGCCACTGCACAGGCTTGTTCACCCTTTGTCCAGCACCCATCATTACTGTTGAGCAGTAGCTATGACTTTGGAAGGTTCAAGGCATCTGCAGAAAGCATAGGTCCTCCACCAGTCTGACAGATACATCCTAAAGACTCTTGTCTATTCAGCGATTACCTTGCCTCTTGGCTATTTTTTTCTATCAATAAAGTGAAATTTGAAGGATGAGCTATTTGGCTGAAGGAAATTCAGGGAATCTCAGGAAGCTGCTGGCGTCTTCAGTTTAATACTGCCCTCAATGAGAGTCAGCTTTTCGAACCAAGCAAATTCCCAAAGTACCTCTATGTGTACATGGGGAGGATGGAGGAGGAAGATGGAGAAATACTCTCCATGCCAATCCACTAAAACTCTTTATTTTAGCAGTGTCTTGCTGAATTGTCAGTGGTTCATGAAGTAAAATAACCTCTCCTACATCAGACATTGTTTGATGGTGTTCAAAAGAAGACAAAGAGCTGATTCTCAGTCTTTGGACTAAGATCAAGTGTAAAGGAAAACCAGAGTGCTGCCTAGATGGTTGCAATTCATACAGGCTTCTGATAATGGTGAGT